GGCTACTGTTTGGACAAAAAGTTCTGCATTCTCCTTTCCGAAGAGCTCGATTTAGCGAAGAGCTCAAGTTATCGGCGAAAATTTTCAGTAAGAAAAAGAGAATTGGAACTTGAATTTTGGAGCAGTAATGGATCCTGAAACAGCCCTAGAGCTTGTGAAGCACAGTGCGACGGTTCTCCTCCTTGACGTTCCTCAGTACACCATTATTGGAATTGATACTCAGGTTATCAGATAAGTTCATATTCCGTATTTTTCTTTATTCGAAGTTCCGAGGAATAGTATCTCAGGAACATATGTTCGATTGCTGCTGTTGCTGCGTGAAATTGTGATTGCAGTATTTGTTTATGTTTCTGTTATTCTATTGGTTCTGTGGAATTTGAACTTGTATTTGCAATGGATGAATAATTAATTATAAGTTACATGTTGCTGTCCCATTTCGATCATTTTTCTTTTATCTGAAACTGGCTAAAACCTTTTTGTTTGGTTGGCAGAGAAGCTATGTTATGTGCTGATATCACAGTTTTAGTCGATAATACTTTAAGATTGTTCGATTGAATATTGTTTTCAATGTTTATTTTTGGTGGGAAATGTGAATGTTACTCCTCCATTTTCGATTATTTTTAGCAGAAACTGGCCAAAACCAGTAAACTCTTTCTGTTTGGTTGGCAGAAAAGCCACGTTATGAGTTGAACTCATAATTTTAGCGGTCAATACTTATAATTTGTTGATTAAATTTTGTTTTCCAATGTTTATTTTTGGTAAGAGCAAGTCTTATTCTCACCATGCATGAAGTTTTTTTTCATCACCYTTGAGGATTCAATGGTATGCTAAATCCTATACTAAAACGGATCTCACTGAAATTTGAAACTTTGACTTCACTCTTATTTTCAAAAATGGAAAACGTGCGTGCAATAACATATTGTCCTTTTTTTTTGGCAGTAAATATTGCACCAAAGTAATATTTTTTCCCTTTAGAGTGACTAATTAATTGGTTGTCTTCTTAAGATATTATCTGTAGGACCTCATTTCAAGGGTATAAAGATGATTCCTCCAGGACCTCATTTCCTTTATTACAGCTCATCTAGCAGGTGTTGTATGATATYATTAATTAGGTTCTTTAGGTATACCTATTTTATTGTCACAAACTATCACATGCTATATATCCTCCACTAGTGTGTAACTTTACATGATGCATCGCGTGGATAATTTCTTGTCTAATTCTAACCTTTCATGATATATAGCATTTTAGCAACATGATGCATCATATGTCGTTGCATTATTAATTAGTTTCTATAGATACTCATATCAATTTAAATGTAACAAATTGTCACATGCTATATATCCTTCAACTACCTGTGGAATTTGCTATATATCCTCCAACTAATCTAAGTTGCTTTACATGATGCATCGCTTGAATAATTGCTTGTAGGTCTAGGAATCTAAAACATTTGATATTATGATTGGCTCTTTACACTGAGATAGTCTAACTTACTGTTAATTTAATTTTCTTTTTTCTTTTAGTGTTGAATTTCTATCAATTCTAACGATTAACTTAATCTTTTCTTTCACCATATATGTCAAAAGAATAGAGTACTGTAAAAAATGTCAAGGGATAGATGGCCCACAATAAATTCTACTACTAGCCATGTGGAGTAGCCAAATGGTTTGGAATCAAGCACTAACCACTAGACTATCGCTGCCTTCTAAATCCATTGTGGAGAGCTYAATTTTATTTTTAGATATAACATTGAGTCAACAGGAAAGATTATAAATCACCTTCTTTCATATAAAAATAAAAACAAAAGATTATAAATCACCTTCTTTCATATAAAAATGAAAAAGTTATATGTAACTTACTAGTTTACGAGGATTATTGTATTAATATATTCTTTCTCATGAATGCCTAGATTTGTGAGCGTGTCAAATTTTTTACTATGATTTTTATATGTTAAGTTACATAACTTACTAGTTTRCGACGATTATTGTATTAATATATTCTTTCTCAGGAATACCTAGATTTGTGAGTGTGTCTAATCTTTTACTATAATTTTTCTATATGCAGTGATAACAGAGAGTTCTCACCAATTACTGGTTTTTTTTTGAATCCTGGTTCCGCTGAGGTCGACTTCTCTTATACTTTCAATTACACTGTATCAATTTTATTTTTTAAAATAATTGAAGTCCATAACTAGCATGTGAGCCGTGTATAAGGCAGTCAATGTGAATCTGTTGACCCAAATTTTTTTGCATCTTCAATTTTGATGCTGTTGATTTTTTTGTTTTTTTTAGTTAGAGCTTTGCTCCCCTATACCTAGGGGCACTTGCACATTTTGATGCAGTTGATTAATTGTTTGCTTAGAAATCATAGTCACATGGTTAGTTTTTGGTTGTATAGGTCATTGTTCGGAAGTGGGACAAGGGGGAGGAACGACTAGTTAAAGTATTGGAAGATGAGGTTTGTGTTTCTTTTTTATATATTCATTCAAGATTTATTATTCTTGGGAAGAAACTATGACACTTTTCAAAATTCAAAAGTAAAAAAAGAAAAAAGGAATATACAAGGATCACAAGGATGGCAAAAAGGATAAATTATAGTCTTAACATTCCTTTGTTGCTCTAGTACCATTTTAACATTGAGAGAATCTAAGTTTTCTTCGAATTGGAGAGCCTTTTTTTAGTCCCCTATAGGGTCCTCTCCCTCTTGTAATCACTTTTCATGTTATCAATGAATTGYGTTGTTTTATTAAAAAAATAAAAAAGAATCTAAGTTGTCTTATAGAAAAATGGCCCACTAAAGCCAATATAGACTAAACATTGACAACTAATATTTACACATAGATATTTATAAATATTAAAAATTCCAACACCCCCCTTTGTTTGTTACCTCATTCCCATAGAAAGTTGCAATTTGTCTATCAATATCACTGCATATCTTAGATTATTAGTAGAAGTACAAAGGCACCCTTTATTTATTTTTTTTTATAAGAAATGGAACTTATGTATTGATAAAAAGCGGATCTACAGTACAAAAGAGGTAGATGTGATATCTCCAGAGAGCCAAGGGAATTAGAAATGGAACTTTTTTTTTTAATAAAAAATGGAACTTGTGTATTGATAAAAAGCGGATGTACAGTACAAAAGAGGTAGATGAGATATCTCTAGAGAGCCAAGGGAATTAGAAAAAGACTCCCAATTAGCACAAATATATTAAACAAATAATTACAAAAATCTTTGTTGAGGGAGCACTAAGTAGAATGATATTTATAACCACATCCTATAAAACATTRTCAGGCGATTCTTCTCTTTGAAAAATCCTCCTATTCCTCTTGGCCCAAAGCTTCCAAAGGAGGCCACCACCACTGCATTATACCAAATGATTCTGGCTTGACCAACAAAATAAGTTCCCTGGATGAGTTGAAAGTGAAACAAACCATCTGAGACATTTTTGGGGAAGACCCACGAAAGGTTGAAGCAATTTAGAAGAAATTTCCAGCAACGTAGGACATAAGAAAAAATTTGCTGACTATCTTCCCCTCCTTTTGCACATCACACACCAACCATGAGATAAACCCATTTTAAGAATCCTTTTTGTTGTCTATCGTGTGGGTTTCCARGGCAAAGATCCACAGAATATTTTTTTTTTACCCTCTTAAGCATTTTATCTTGCCAGATGGTGCTAGTAAGGGGCCTACTAATGCCCCTTCACAGATTCCACATAATTTTTGAGTCATAGATTTGACTGAGTAAACCCCACCATTCTCGAGTTTCCACCTTTTTCTATCATCAATCCTCTAATATTAAGGTTCATGAGCAAACTAAGAATCGGTCTCTAAATCAGTGAAGTTTCTATTGGCTAACCAGCATTGAGAAACAAGGAAATCTTTTGAGTTTTTGCCACTCTGTAAAGCCTTTGAAAGGCTGTTTTGATCGATGGGCTCATTTAAAAGCCATTTGTCATCCCAAAATAAAACCTTATCTCTTCTTCCAACTTTTTATTTGTACCATTTGTCTGTCTATATGGCATTTTGAAATTTGCATCTACGACCCTTTTATTCTAATGTTGACTTTTGGATAAGGATCCACTCATTATTGGACGCTTTGTATTTGCTAACAATAATGGTCCTCCATAGGGTGTTCTTCTGGAACACCCCCTGGAAAACCTTCTTTTCCATTTGCCCAATCTGGAAGTTATTTTCTGTAACTCCGAGTCCTGGGGGGAGCCTAAGATAGGTTTTAACTAGACATCCCAAAGTAAAGGCAAGTTCTTCAGTTCCAAAAGGTTAAGATTAATCCAGGCAATGACTGATTTGTTCACGTTCACTCTCAAACCCAGGACTGCTTCAAAAGCTTTGACAATCTTGAGTAATTTAGCAAAAAGCATGTCATCAGCAAATTGGAGGTTGGCCATATGGATTCTTTCCTTCCTTATAAATATAAAAGAACTTGTGGATCTGATGCTGAMTCTTATGTCGTTTGCGTTCCTRTGTGCAACTTTTCATTAGATTGTTAATATATGCACACTGTTTAAAGCGAGTGTTGAATTAGTTAGAAGTTAAGATTATGTGGACTTAGTTAGAAGTTGTTTTAAAGTTGTTTAGATTTTGTGTTTAAATTTAGCAAATAAATCTCCTTTTTTGTTAGGGAAGTTAGGAGGTTATTCCTAGATTTTGTTTCCTCTTGTAACCTATAAATAGTGCCTCTATTCCTCATCTTTGATCAATCAATTTGAGAATTTATTTCTTCTCTCTTTTCTCGTGTATGTCTCTCTGGTGTCTCTATCCTTAGTTTTTATGGTATCAGAGCTAGGTTTAGATTGACACCAGAATGGTTAAAACAGCCATGATGACTSATGTGCGCAAGGATGAGAGTTCCGACGGATCGAATACGACCTCAATTTCTCTCCCTAAAAGCACAGCCACGACACCTCACATCTCTATCTCTGAAAACACTTCGCTCCAAATTACCTCTCCAAAACTCAACGGAAAAAATTTTCTGCAATGGTCTCGATCGGCCCTCCTAGTTATTCGTGGCCGCAGTCGACTCGGGTACATCAATGGCATGATAGCAGAACCAGATCAAGCTGACCCTTCGTTTTCCGTGTGGGATGCACAAAACTCAATGGTCATGGCATGGCTCATTAACTCGATGGAGGAAGACATTAAAGAATCTTTCATCTTCTACTCAACAGCAAAGGATCTTTGGAATGCGCTCACTATGGCTTTTTCTGATTTTGATAACTCGGCTCAATTGTTTGAATTACGCAATAAGGCACGTTCCTTACGACAAGGTGAATCYGATGTCACCCAATACTACAGCTCATTACGTAGGTTGTGGGCTGAACTTGATTTATGTCTCAATCTCGAATGGGAGAACTCGAAGGATGCTGAACGCTTCCGCAAACA